GTGCTTTCAAAATGGTGGCTGGCCACGATGAAACAAAAGAGCACATGGAATGGTTACACCATGTGGTTGATGACACCTATGTGCTAACATCGTTGGGGAGATGTGTATGTGAGGTGTTGGTCCCAGGTTAGAGAAAGTAGGTGCATACAAAGAAAGAGTCTGATTCTGTGAACAGCATAACATTACTATCATAAGCTTTCAAATAATGTAATACCTTATATACATATATATAAACGTATATACATGGTAGGAAATATAATTAAACAGTCCTTTGCTTAGCCAAGTGTGACTATTAAGCCCAGTTATGTTACCTGTGCATGAAAATGGGGAAAGGTCCTTGTTGATCTGCTGTTTGAAGTCCAGTGAAGTAGTCTCTCAGGTTTATGGTTCCTGTTGTTCATCTGCTGGTCAGACCTTGTGTCGTAGCCAATTGATCGTGCTGAAGTCCTATTGGATGGTATTAGCAGTCTGCTTCAGGCAGGCCTGCATAGAGGTTGGAAGAGCTTGGGTAGAGAGGAAGTCTCCCTGCCTGGGTGAGCAGGAGAGATACCCACCTTTCATCCAGGAGAGGACAGTAGAAATATGTAGAAGAGAGGGGTAACAAGGTTTTGATTTTCCTGGTGACCTCATGGGTCATGGGGCACACAGTAATCAATAATGGTTGAAAGTTGTGTCGAGGGGCAGGTTTAATACTCTGAAGATGAAGCACCCTGGGTGACTGAGTTCCGGAAGCTCTCCTTTGTCTCCAGAACAAAGAAGACTATGTGGTCAGGCTTTTGGCTACACATGTAGGCCCAACTGTTGTTCACAAATAGTAAGTCCCAACATCTGAAACAAGTCTCTAGGACAGCTTTCTTCCACCTGCGCAATATTATGAAAATTATGAACATCCTGTCTCAGAAGGATGCTGAGAAACTAGTCCGTGCATTTGTCACCTGTAGACTAGATTACTGTAACTCTTGATCATCAGGATGCCCAAGGAAGTCTGTGAAAGTCGGTCCACAACGCTGCAGCACGAGTGCTGATAGGAACTAGAAGGAGAGATCATATTACTCCTTTCCAGAGTTGGGTACTCCGTAACTCGATACCGATACCCAGGAAAATAGTTGATACTTGACACCATTTTCGATAGCACAGGGGGGAAAAATAAAAAACAATTAAGAGG